TGAGAGCCAGAGGCTCCAACGGTACCAATGTCCCCCTCCCACTGTGCCCCCACCAACCTCCCATTCCAGGGATTGTACCCAACCTGCAGATTCAAGACGCAAAGGCAGCCTGACTTCACCCCAGCCATGGGGAGAAAGCACCGAGAGTCTTGGGCACCCAGAAGAGGGGTACCTACACCCATCTCGAGCACTGTGTTGTTTCACCTGTGCCCAGCCCTCAGCCGGTTGGCTCTCCAGATGCGAGGGGCCCATAGGGAAACCGGGCTGTGTGGCTCCATCACCAGCACCCCTTTCGTTTTGTGAGGATGAGCCCTCCATACCCCTTCTCCCACTTTTCAGCAGAATCTGTCTCCCCACTAGCCAAGCCCTTAGCTCCCATCCTGGGGCCAAAGAGTTGAGAGTAAAGGGACAGGAAAAACTCAATTTGCTTAGATTGCTGGAAGCCAGGCAGGGTCAAAGTAGGAAAGAACAAACGGTCCTTGTACCGCGTCCCCACCTGCAGTCCCCGGCCTTCGCGCCTGGGCAGATGGAGCACAGCAAATGCTATGGACACGGGGCAGGATCCGAGGTTGGTGGAGAAAACCCGAGACAGCCCAAGCCTGAATCTCGGCTCTCCCACCTCGCGGGAAAAGGAAATTGGGGTGAGCATGGCCGCCCTGCCCACCCGGGCTCACGCCGGCGCTATTATTTCCCTCTGCCCCGCGATTCAGATCCGACAAGAACACAATGACTGCTTCAGCGCCCCGCCGCGGGCATTTTAAAACGGGGTTTTGTCCCCAGTCTGGGAACCAAGGCCCCAAGCCTATGGTCTTCTGCCCTTGAGCACTTCGGTGCACCAGGGAGAGAGGCCCAGGGAACGGAATGCTGAAATAGAGGCTACACTTGCATATTGCATGACAGATGGCGGGAGAAATTTAAATGGTCTCATATTAGCAGCTCTTGAGACACACACCAAAATCCGGAAAACGCGCATAGATTTCTCTACAACCGGGACTTACGCACTGCAGGTATGTACACCTACATCTAAATTAGAAGTAGCGATTAAAGTGGATTCTGGTGCCTTCTTAGGCTCGCATTCTGGCTCCAGTTCCCCGGGTAATTTTGGGTAAGTAACTTAACTGTTCTGTGCCTCAGTTTCCTCCTTTGTAAAATAGGGATAACATCCTATACAGATTATAGAGTTAATTGTGAAGATTAAAGGCGATTCCTTTTGTGGGGTGCTTACTCTGGTGCCTGGCACGCGCACATACCCCTTGTATGCCAGCTAATTTTATTATTGTTGTTACGTGTACTTTGAACACCATCTGCAACATATACATCTTGATTATACGCATCTTGATTGTAAAACAACCAAATGCATCTACATCCGGAACTGTCTTGTGCATGCACTTCTAAACCCAAATTGGAAGAGACGTCTACAGATGGAGCACGCACAAGCACACGCACACACGCATCTACTCCTAACACCTGTAGTTCCTAGCCCTAGAGCTCAATTCCCCGAAGAGCTACCCATAAATACGAATATCTACAGTTACGTGTGTAAGAGGCCACGTCGTGGCCTCGTGGCCTCGCACACACCCCAGCAGCCACTCTCTTGGCTGGTTGCCGGGAGGTCAAATTTGGAAACCAGCGAGGCAGAAAGCGCACGGACGCGAAGCGTTTCAAGCCTCTTTGCAGCGCCCGATGGCGGCTGCCTGTCTGCTGGCTTAGGGGAAAGGTCAGAACAAGGGTTTTCCTTCTTGGATGGAATTTTTGTAACGGCCTATGCGCCACCGGGAGCTTTCCCCACAAAGGGTGGGTTCCGGGACAGCGCAGATCCAGAGGGAAGCTCTGCACACACACACACACACACACACACACACACACACACACACACACACACGCCGGCGTGCACACGCCCGGGCTCCTCCAGGGTTGCTGGAACCTGGGAGGAGGGAGCACAGGGTCGTGACCCCTGCTTCTGCCGGAGCGCGCCCTTCGGCCCCTGCAATTAGCGCCCGGAGGTCAGTAGGAACCAGGACGCCTTTACCCGCGGCTCAAAGCACAGCGAAAGACGACCCCACTCCTCCCCCACGCAGGTTTCAGACGCCAGGGCGCAGCCTGGCTTGGAGCCGAACTTCCCAGGGGATGGGTCCAGAGAGCTAATGCCTGCACCCGCCTTTGTCACCTTAAATCTACAAATCACGAAGTCGCTGGGCCCTGTAGGCTGCGGTAGCTGACCCCCACCGGGCCCGGACTGCTGCTCAAGAGAGCCATGGCCTTTGTCCCTGTAGACGCGGCCAGTGTAAAATCCGAAAAATTCCAGAGGCGTCAAATAAGAGAGAGGGCATCCACTGTATAATTTGAATTTTGTATATTGGGGAAGGGAAAATCCTTTCTCTCTCTATGTATCAGGAGTTCAGGTTTTCCCGTGCCCGGCAGAGTCGGAGTAACTGCCGGAAATTTCTGCACCGAGTATCAGGGTACTTGGTAAGAAAATTATGAGAGAGGGTTTCCCTCCAACCCCGACATGTACCCTGAGTTTCCTTAAGCTCTGTGTAAACTCAGAGACGGAAGGACTGTTTTTCTCATCTGAGGCCCAAACAGGAGTGAAAGTGATATCCAAGACAGAGTCCGCGGCTGCTTCTTTCGACACTGGGGGCGGGTGGGGGGCAGCGGAGGAGGGGGGCGCAGCAGGGGGGTGGCGAGGCTGACAAGTGGCAATGGTGAAACGCCCAAGTTCCGGGCCCCGGGAGGCTCTGGGGCGCCGAGCCAGTGGCGATGACCGGGGACGCATTCGTGGGCCACACAGATAGGTGGCACTCGAAGCCAGGAAAAAAACCAAAGGCGCCGGCCCCGAGTGGCCTTCGCGGCGGCCGCCGCCACCATAAAGCCTGCGGCGAGATTGCGACCGGCGCCAGGTGAGTAATAGGCAACGAAATCCAGAGAGATTGCGAGTTGTTCACCCCCACGTCCATCAGCGCCACAAGAGTTACTCATTAACATCACTAAATACAAATAAGATACACAGGAGATTAAAAAAAAAAAAGCCCAGCTTGGGAGGGGTTGGACACAGGTCTGAGCACTGTCCGAGCATTTTGGGGGTGAGGAGGTGAGCCAATCTGGCCTGAGAAAGTAAATCATTCCTTCCCCCTTCCGCGCAGGCTGTTTGCTGCCCCACTCGGGACAGCGCCGTTGGCCACAGCCGGCCGGCCACCACCTTCCCGGGGCGCAGGCACTACGTTGGGCCCAAACTCGCCCGGGTCCGCTGCAGCCGCTGCGCGTAAGGCGCGCGCCCTGGAAATCTGCGGGCCCTCGGGGGAGCTAGCGCCCCAAAGGTCCCCGGGCCCCTCAAGCCCCCACCCCCCACCCTAGTTGTTTTTCCTCCCAGAGACAGCACCGGAGAGGCTGTGAGGCTCCCCACGGGCCTGGCTGGAGCTGCAAGGAGCTTTGCCCCCTCTCCAAAAGGTCTCGACCTCGGTCCCCTTCCAAGTGCAGGATGAGGGAGGGGGGTGCTCCTCGCCGGCCATTCAAGAGGCCCGTAGGTGACAGGGACTTGGGGCCGGGCTGGCGGGCTCCAGGGAGGGGGAGGGCGGCAGCCGCCAGGCAGGCTCCGGCTGGTCCTCACGTCATGGCCCCCGGGCAAGAAAAGGCCTAGAGAATCTTCCCGCGGCGCACCCACCAAGGGACACACACCTCGGAGGCGAGGCTGGGGGTGGGGACGCCCTGAGACCACAAGACAGTCATGGCCTCACGGTTTTTAACTGAATGTTTCAAAGATAAATTGAACTTCAAAAGGCAACTCCCCACAGAGCCTGGAGGCTGGCTGGAGGGGAGAACTGGAGGGTGTCAGCCTCCCGGGGGACTTTTCCCCTGGAGGGGGTCAAATATGCGCCCTGGGATACCTTTCCCTTGCAGGGAAAACGTGTCTTCTAACTCGCGTATCACAGCTAAGTGTGTGGGGAGCTGGTAGTGCTTCGCACGCATGGCTCTGGGGATGGGACCCCGTCGGGGCGCCTGGGGTAAGCAAAAGACCCCGGAGTCGAGTGGGAGCCTTTAGTCCCCCCCACTTCCGTGCCCTAGCGGATTGCCGCCCTGTCGGGCTGCGAGGAAATCCTACTAGCTTTTTTGGCACGCTGGTGCAGAGATATTTTGGACTTGTAGTTTCCAGATCAACGTGAAAAGGGAAAGCGAGCCTGAAACGAAAACGTTTGCAGTCCTCCAACATATTTTTGGTCGGACTCCTGTGGGAAACTGACTTAGGGAGCCGAGCATTCTTTTCCCACTATAACTTAAGCATCTGAAGTTGCTATTCTATCCAATTCTAATCAGTCTGCCTTCCGTCTCTCGTTTTGCTCCCTAATGTAAAGGAAAAGTAATTTCAGATTGAAGCGGCTCCCTTCGCCCCAGTAAGGGACTTTTGTTTTTAGCTTTGTAACTTGAGTGACATCGCATTTCGGTTCAGTGGGGCGGTCTTAATTACTTAAAGGCAAAGGGAAGGGAATAGAGGAAGCCAGGAAAAAACACTCCACTTTCAGGGCAGTTCCCTGAAGAAAGCACTTAACAGGAGGCCCTGAGACATTTCAATAAAAATTTATTGAAATTTCAATGATGTTTTAAAGAGAAGGGAAAAAATACAGAAAAACCAAAGAACTCATCAACAATTATAACACAAAATATACCTTCATGAATTTGTCTTTAAACCATCTCTCAGCACCTGACTTTTGAACTGTGAATATATCTCTACAGGCACCAATTTCAAAAACACCATCAATATTGAAGACAGTAGTCAATTCCACTTCGTTTTGAAGAAATCAGAGACTAGCAAATAACAAAAGAAAAATTAGAAAGTCAAACCACAGCCTCTGCACTCCCCCCCAAGCAATCTCAGAACCACTCCTTAGTTTTAAGGAATTTAAGGTGGAGCCAGAGTGGCACCACCTTCCCAATTTTGGGTGAAACAGGCAATAGCACTTCCCCCACTCCTGGACATTAAAAGAGAAAAAAATTCTTGCAGGCAACTCTTTTGAAAGTGTTACTGTTGGTGCATACGTGTGTTTCCTAGTGTTAAAAGCGATTGTGTGACCTTGAAATAAAACGGATAAAGGAAAATACCTGACAGCTGCAATCCTATTTACATAGAGCTATGTACAATGTCAATAAATTAAAGTTTAATTTTCCGAGCATTCATATTCCACCTATTTACAAGAGTTATCAAATAATTACATAAATACTTTGTCTAATAGTCTCGCTTCTTTTTTATTATTTTTTAAAACCTTGTTATTGCATATACAGGAAAGAGAAAGAACGGCCAAAGAGAGCCAGGAATCCTGCCACAGAGCTTAGATAAAATAAATTCATTTTCTGTGTCTTCCCCACCCATTCCCCTTAAAACCTCCCCCCTGGGTGTTGCCATTCCGAGGGTGGAGAATGGGGGAAAGGGTATGGGTTATGTTCTTTTCTCTCTAAAAGCAAGCATCCAAAATAAAAGACCACACATACATTACTGTGGAACATGCAAGAAGAGACCTATAGCGGCTCTTAAAACATCACAAGATTAAAAAGACACAGATTTCCTTAATAGAGACTAAACAAGGATGGCAGCGACTTCCCTCCCACAAACAATGCTGCTCAGTCATTTATTTAGAACTGATATGCAAGTCACTATAAAGTTTTTGATCTTCACATTAAATCATGTGAATGTATTCATCTGTCCCGGGTATTTTTTTTTGTCTTGTTTTTGTTTCTACTTGACATGGTGAAGGAAAAAAAAAATATATATATATATATAAATCTGCACTGGGGAGAAGCCTTTCAACACCTCCCTCCTACTGGGCCAGGCTACCTTTTTCTTCCCACAGCAACCAGACCAGCCTGGCTGGAGATGCTCTGGACATACATGCTCTAACTCCCACCGCCAGTAAGCTCAATGCAACAGACATTTCCGAGCCCCAGAATCTCAGCCAGATCCTGGATATATAAACCCCTCCAAGAAGACAGGGCCTGATTCTAGCACATTCTCTCGAGGGAGTCCAGCACCCCTTCCCAGACATAAAGAAGGGCTAATCTCACTGCACGCCGGTGGTTTATTTTACATCCAACAAAGTGCACTGCAGACTTGAGTAGAATGGAATGAAGAGGCTTTTCTGGGGAGGGACTTATGGGGACGCGCTGCGGGACCTGTCTGGCTTGGCTTCCAAGCCGCTGACCAACCGCTGGATGCTCTGCAGTTCGCTGGTGGCTGCCTCCTTCTCAGGGCAGAGTTTGGGCGACAAGGACACGGAGCTGGAGGAGAGCGTGGAGGAGCGACTGTTGAGTTCCGAGCCTGAGTCCACGGCCACCGAGGCCGGGCTGGCGGCCAGGGCGGCGGCTTTGCCGTCCAGGGGCCCCGCGGCAGCGGCCACGGACGGCAGGGCGGTGGTGAGCAGGCTGCTGCTGTCCGGGACCGGCATGGGGATGGAGTAGGGGCTGTAGCGCAGCCGCGGGCGCACGGCGTTCAGGTTGAGGAAGGGGTGGCGGTGCACGGAGCTCGAGGCCGCTGCAGAGGAGGCAGCCGCCGCCGCAGCCATGTACGTGTAGGGGTAAGGGAACAGGCTTCCGAAAGGCGACATGGCCAGGCCCTAGGGAAGGAAGACGAGGCGCAGCGAGTCAGCCGAGGAGGGGCCGTGCAGTGGGAGGAGCTCCCCAGCCCCCATCCTGGGACCCCAGGTAAGTCTTTAATCTCTCTCCCCGGGTGGTGGTCCGGGGGAAGGACACTCAGAGTTCTCTCTCTAGGTCCAAATCTTAGCTGTATCTCTGGGCCCAGACTGCACCGCCCATCCCCACCCCCGGGCCTCAGCTTTCTTATGGGAAAAAAGGCAAATATTACATAATTCATACACTTATTGCAGACTTTGTGGCTATTAACTGAGTTAATAACTTGCAATATGTTATCCAGGGCAGGTGGTCAATAGGGCTGTTAGAGATCTCATCAGATCAGTCGTTGCACCTGCTAAATGGGGCTACAGAATCATTCTACCCCACAAAAGTAGCTGAGTGAAAACCAGAGGGCATAAATGAGTGGATATAAAATTTTTTTCATGCTTGCCTCACCCTCATCCAGCCCCTCCCTCTCCAATTCTAGAAGCTTCTCAAATGAAAAAAATCCTTAAGAAAAAAATAATCAGAGAGAGTGGGGGACATAGGCAGAGAAAAAGAAATAACCTAGCCTGATATGCTGGTGTTACAGGTGGAGAAACCCAGGTAGGCCCTAGGGGTGCAGGAAGTCACTCAGAATCTGAAATCCAGGGGCCCTGGCCTGGGCCAGTTCTCTGTCCCTTGCCTTGGGTACTATTAGTACTTGTTTGCCCAGGGAGCCCCTTGCCCACCTATCACCTGCTCACCTATGACAGGGTCTCCAGGAGGGGCTAGCAGAGGACAGGGGAGGAAAGATAAAGGCCAGAAGCCAACCCTTTTCTCAGTTCCCTCTTCCTCGCAGAGGGGAAGGCCTATCCTGCCTCTTGGCTCAGGGAAGGGAGACAAATGTGCTCAGACAAAACAAAAGGCACAGACGTGCAGAAACCCCCATGGAACCTTCTGCCTTGTTCAGAGTGTTTCCAGGGGTCTGAGACTTCTCCCCAGCTGACCCACACCCAGGTCCAGCTGTCTGAACCATACATAGGCCACCAGGGCTGCCCCAGACCCAGCCTGTCCCGTTCCTGTGATATTTTCCACGTGTGCACAAGCCATTAACCCTTTGGGGACAGGCTGGCCAGCCTGGGTTGCGGGGCAGGGGGAAAGCTTCAAATGGGGAGGAAAGGCTCAAGACTCCACTCCCACCCAGGGGTCTCCTCCCCTCCCCATGCCGTGGTGGTCCCCTAGTCTAATTCCTGGAGGAGGAGATACTTAAGAGATATTCAGTTCTGAAGTTCAAGTCACAGACTCTGAAAAAAGGCCATGGAGTCAGACTGCCTGCGGGTAGGGCCCCCTGCTCCGCCACTTCCCAGCTGTGTGACCTTGGACCTAGCTCAACATTTCTGGGCCAATGCCCCTTCAGCTATAAAGTGGAGGTGATAATAGTGCCACCAAAGTCAGACTAGACTGAGTACTTAGGCGAGCGCCTGGCCTAACATAGCGCTATATAGTTACTATGATTGCTACAGACCTACTTGGCTGGAAACATCCCTTAACTTAGAAAAAAAAATGAAGTTTTTGGGGGAATGTGAGGTGATGATAAATCAATGATTTAAGCTTAGCACCTAGTAATTATGATGATGATGATTTAAAGCTACTAGGCAGGGGGGCTGGGTGAGGGTCTGGCATCAAAAGGAGGAAAGCTAGGTGCATGGAGGGAGGGGCAGGGAGGCTGAGGAAGGGCAACAAATACCTGAGAGGCCAGGACATGCTGCTGGAGGTGGAAGGGCAGGGTGGCCGCCGACGCCCCAGACAGTCCCTGTGCCGCGGCGGCAGAGGCCATGGCAGTGGAATCCAGGCCAGAGACACCGGTGGAAGCCCCGGACACGGTGGCCAGCAGGGGCCCCATGCCTGCTGCCATGCTGGAGAAGGCGCCCCCCATGGCGAACTGGCCGGGGTGCAGGAAGAGAGGGTGCCCGTTGAAGAACTGCTGGCCGGCTAGGCCCGGGGCGAAGCCAAGGCCGGGCAGAGGACCCTGGCCCAGGTGCGCGGTGGCCGCGTCCGTCTGCACGGTGAGCGGCGCGAAGGCCTCCTTGCCCGGCAGCGTGCGCGCCTCCTCGGCCTTGGACGTGGCCGCGCCATCGCGGCCCGGGCTCCGGCGCTCCTCGGAGCCCAGGCCGCGGGTGCTGGACGAGATGGTGGCCGGGCTGTGGCGCGAGTCGGGCGACGCCTTGTCCAGTCGCCCGCTGTCCCGGGACCGGCCACCGGGATCAGCCGCGAAGAGGTGCGACTTGACCGCCGGGCTGCCCTTGTCGCGGCACGGCTCCTCCGACGTGGTGGTGGAGATCTTGGCTGCGTCGCAGGCCTCCGGGCCGTGCTCCTCTTTGCTCTCTGCCTCCGCGTCGCTCTCACCCTCGCTAGGACACAGATCTATGTGGAAGGGGAATAAAAGCAGAGTGGTAGGGTTTAGCTCAGAACTGGGCCGGTCAAACTCGTGGCCAGTTTGAATCTCAGCTCTGCTGCTTATGAGCTGTGCAACCCCTGGCCAGCGCCTCAGCCTCTCTGTGCCTCGGTTTTCTCATCTGCAAAGTGGGAGTGACCATACCTTACAACTTTGTGGAAGGATTCAAAAGGATTTATGGACAGCAATGACTCTAAAGCATTTAGACTGAGCTGAACCCCTCTTCCAAAAGACCCTTTCTCCCCATTCGGTGGTGAATTTCACCATTTTTTACAAGTTTCCTACTGTGTCAGACAAAGCCTGTACTGGCCTTTTCCCATTTGATTGAAAATTCACTTAAAACTACCCTAAAATTTTCTGTGGGTACACTTTCTAGTTACCACCCGAGTCTTTATTCAGGGAGCAGTTAAGATCAGCACCTTCAGCAAATTTGTGAATTCGTTCATAAGGATTTGTTTGGAGGGAACTCTGACGTCTGAATTGGGAGCGGCATAAGTGCACACCCCTCCCCCAACACACACACTCAACTGAGTCCGTCTGTTTGCCCCTGTCCCTACAGACAGGGATGGGAGCGGCGGCTCACTGCCCCAAGACAATCATACATGCTCTTCTGATTTCGCCCCACCCTCTGTGGGTGTCCCGCAAGAAAAGGAGAAAAGGGGATCCTATTTTATGTTTAAAGCTTAAACGGATTGAACACATAAAGGATGTACATTTTAATTCACTTAAAAACAGGTTTCTTCCCAATGAGAGAGAGAGTGTGTTTCCAAACAGTTCTTGCTCTTTAAACACAGGAAACCAACTGGGGCTTTGAATCATGTCATGCCCTCCCAACTCTGGTCCCCAGTGTTCCGTCTCCTCTCAGGTCAACTGTCGCTCTATGGCTGAGTGTTTTCTGGGCCACCCTCCCTGTTCCAGGTGACAGAGAATCAATTCTATGCCTCCCCAGCACAGGAGCATTTTAAACCAGAGTTCAAAGACAGTCAAAAGCCAGCAGTTGCTTGGCGGGCTGTCTTGGTTGGAGGGTGAGAAAGAAGTGCTCCAGGCCTGTTTTCAAAGCTGTCCACACTGAGAGGAAATATGAGGGAATGTACAAACAGACACCCCAGCTCCAGCCAAATCAAGACTTGGAAGAAGGGGTTCAGAGGTCTACTTTATACTAGCTTAGGGAGGGCAATACACCTCATCACCCTTGTCTCAACTTTGGTTCCCGTTTATGGACTTCTAGAAGCCTCTGGAGCTTTTGAAGGGCAAGTTACCTGGTGCATGCCCCCACCCCCAATGCTTGCAGCCCTCCACGACCTGGAACAGAGACCTTAGAGGTGACCAGGCTTACCTTTGAGGTTCGATGTTCCTACAGTGGAGACAGCTGGAGATGAGGACTGAGCAAAGCAGTTGAAGGCTGCCTGTTCACTTGAGGACTCATCAGAAGTGCCATTCTCCTTTTTGTGCCTGTCATCGAACACTCTCATGGACTGCAGGGTGAGCTGTTTTCTGTGGCAAAAGCCCACACCCAGCCTTACAGAGCAGAACATACATTTCCCCCCTTTGTTTGCCTCACCCTCTCCGAAGAGGCACACACACACCTCACCCTGCCTGCCGCCCACGGACAACACTAATTCTCTGAAACTTGCTTGCCCCAGGGCAGCCACATAGACCCAAGCATTGTTCTTGACCCTGTAACGGGGCTGAAGAGGGGCTGAAGAGTGTGGCACAGGGGTTAGGGAGGAAGGAAGAAGGCTTCGGTTGCATTTATTCAAGATCAGGGTTTCATTAGGGGAAGAGCATTGGCTTGGTCTGTGAAATTTTGTCTAAAAGCAAAAAGCAAGAGGGAAGCCTGAGGCGGCCAGTGACAGCTGAATAGCCAGCCTTACAGAGAGAAGAGAACTGGGTACCCAAACCAGGGAACACAAACAGCCTGCAAACTCCCGCCTGGTTGCTAAGATTGGGAGGAAGTGGTTATTTCATGGTGCACTTTACTCTAATTGTTTCACCAATACATTAATCATAATCAGAGTGAAAAAAATCTATTTAGCTGTTAGAAATTATTTTTCAATTCCCCCCACTCCCCACCCCCAGGAACAGGTTAAATATTTGGACTGATTTTCTGGATTTTAGAGATTCTTTGAAAGCGAGAGGGGGAGGGGAGAGCTTCTTTCATATACTATCCAGCTGTCTGCTTAATGCAAAATGATACATATATCCGTAAAGGAGGGAGCCATAGATTTCTCAAGGGGCCTCAGTTCTGTCTGATGGTATTTGCAAGACAAGATTGCAAAAATTCCACAGCATTTTGTGGATGGCTTAGTCCTTTCTTGGGACCTGCCCAGGATGAACTTAAATTAATTAGGAAATAATAAGCTTCTGTATATAATCTGTTATCCTTGATACTTTTCTTCCGGAGACCACTATGATGTAGCCTAGTTAATTTCCTTTAAGGTAACATGTGGGAGGTAGAAAAATTATTGTCCTGAAATCAGCAAGTGTGTGGCAGAGGGGGAGTAGGTTATTTCTCACCCTCCCCACCCTTCTCTAGTGATTCCATCCCACTTCTAACAGTTAAAATTTGGGACCTAGACAAGTTATTTTTTCTAAATCATCTGTTAAATAAACAATAACTGTCTCTGCTCACCTTTTTTCTCTCCTGCCATTTCCAGTGTCCCGGAAACCTTTTGCGAAAGGGTTGTTGTCTATTTTTAACTGAGTTATCTAGAGGAGGAGACACAAACAAGAAAGAGACATTGGCCTCATTTTCTGGAATGTTTTTGGGGGTGTTCCCCCCCACCTCAACAGTTTCCTAGGAATTCGACTGCCAACAGAAGTCATTTGGATATGCCAGGTTAAAGGGTAAGGGAGAGGAGACAATGGCAATAGTTCGGAGGGCCTGGGTCAGGGTAAAATCAAAGGAAGCTGTACCATAGCTTGCATCTCCCGGAGGAGGCCAAACCAGGGATTCCAGGATGAAATAAACCCGCCTGGGAAATGGTTCATTCTTTTTTGGGGGCAGCCAAGAGCTTGGGCTTATAAATGGAAAAGTTGTCAAACTTGTCCATAGGGACAACCTGTAGATCTTAAAATTATGCTTTCATTTTGATTTTTTTTAATACAATGCAGCTAATCATAAAAAAAGGTTATAGCATATTTCCTGCCCCCACCCCCAACACACAATGTACACTCCAAACCTTTCCTGTAAATCTAATAAAATGATTTATGGGGTTTCACCACTACTCTTGTTAGGGAGTGGGTTTGATTTTTTTGCTGGGCAGGGGGCAGTTTGGAGGAATTAAAATTACTGACAATTACAGATGTAAAGAGCCTGAATAACCACTGGAAACATTTATTTTCATTTATATGCTCTGCTACCATGATTAGAGAAGGCCCATGGCCCCTTTGATCAAAAGTGTTACATTTTATTATTACATTAACAACTTAAGAATCACAGGCTTCTGGGTCTAGAAAGAGCACACATTTTGCACGCTGAGGAAAAAGGCCATAGTATGTAATCTTTCAAATCTCTTCCCTTTGGGGGAAAGAATGATATATATTGATTTCTCCAGAGGTGGAAAAAAAGGCCCCTTGTTTGGATTCTTGTTCTTGCAATAAATTCCTCTATGCAAGATTGCCGAGAGAAAAGGTGCTGATGGTGTATTCTAAGGGAACACACCTGGAAACCACCCCCCCAGGCCAGCTGGAGGACCCTCCCACAGCAATAGTGAATTCAGAATGCAGGGTGTTAAATGGTGAACTGGACTGCCACCGAGGTCCGGGGTTCAGAGTTGAAGAGCAAGGGTCCTGGGTTGCTCCCACCCCATAACTACCTGCTGACAGCCAAGGGGACTGGTCAACCAGCGGCGAGACACTTTGTGCATCTCTGTGCAAATGCCCATGACCTTCAGGCCACCATAGCTTTACCTACCAGGTGCAGCCTGCTGTTCCATTTGGGAGTATTCCTAATCCCCAGCCTCAGACCCAAGGGAGGAAAAAACTTCAAATAAAGTAGTGACTTTTCTCACCTCATCTCAAAAACCTCAGACAACTCGATTAACATGACCCTGTGATCAGAGTAGGTTTTTCCAAACACACACACACACACACACGCATGCACACACACACACACACACCATAAAAAACACAGCAGCATAGAAGGTAATAAAAACCAGACCAGCTACTCGGGATTTCTGGCTACAGGAGAAAAGCTGGTCTCTACTAGGATCTTCCTTCCAGGATCTTGAATAGCTTTTGCCTTAAATTTTTAGCTGGTTCCTTTCGAACCTCAAATCTCATTTCTTAATCACGGAAGAGGCTGAATCTCCAAACAAACAAGAGAAAGCCTGAGGAAGGGTGGGGTTGGGGGGGGGCGCTCCCTGTGTCAGTGGTTATAGGAGATTTTCCCTGGAAAGTTCATTTGACGTTTTTGCGCACAGTACTGGATTCCTAGCTAGTCAATTTGTTTTTCTCTCCCTGCCTCTGCGATGTCCCCTTTCCCCAAAACTTCCAAGGAAGGTCAAATCACAAAAGGAAACTCAGATTCCCATCCCAATTTTCTCAATTCTCTCGCAACTTTCTCAACCTCACCCAAACAGCTTAAAGTGGAGGAAAAAAATATCCCCGTTAAAAAGAAAACCTTCTTTGGTCACCTTATCATTCTGGTATGCCGTCACAGCGATGAATTCGGTTTCAGGGAACAAGTATGTCCGAAATGTACTATAAGGAAGTTTCAAGATGTCATTGGCTCTCACAATGTGGAACCGGGGCTGGTATTTGTGCATGGAGTTCAATATAGTCTGCAGGGGCAAGGAGGAGGGGAGACACACATCAACAAGGATTTAGGAGGGCCAACAGGATCTTAGGACCCCTGCCAGGCTGATATCTACCCCACCGACGGGTACCACTCTTGTACCAAGCCCACCTCCTTGGAGTACCTCTTTGGGTACACTCCGCTCCACAGATGTTATCTTCTGGAGAATCCAAATGGCTCCTCAATTTCCAAAAGGGTCCCCCCACCCTCACCATCTAAGGTTCATTCATACCTTGAACCCTAGCCTACCTGAGTACCAAAACTATAATTCCCCTGCCACGTTGCGTGATCACTTGGGAAGGCCAAAGTCTTAAAAGATAGAGAAAAACATGCATTTTAATTTACAAAATGATCCAGTCCTTTAAGCGCCCACTAATTGACGAGCCCAATCCACTTAAAGCCCTAAAAGGTTGAACTCTAGAGAGGAATATTTATGCCTTAATCAAATCAAGGGCTTCAAATGCAATTCCTGCCGGCTGAAGATATTTCCGCGCCATTCACGTCTTCCTGGGCCTAATCTTTCTGCTTATTCCTCGCTTATCACTGTTTATTTTATTGAAATGCTGGGGAGGGGTAAAGGCGGGGTGGGGGAGGCCCTTTGCTTGACTTTTACAAGCAATCCAAGCCTCCTAAAGTTTCTAAGTACTCTCACACTGAACCCATCTATGCCCTCCCAGCACACGCAATCGAAGTCTCATTTCTAGTAAACTTGACATTCACCCAAGCGCAATTCTTTTTTAGTAAAAGATTTTTAAAAAATCTCTTTAAAAAGGGTATCACACCCTTTAACCAAGGTAGTCAAGACTTGGAACCTTAAAACTCTCCCCAGAAATAATATGGCCGGTTTCAAAATAGAAGCGTGATATCTTAAAACAAGTCCTTTACAAACACATAACTTTAAAACTGATTTTACATCTAAACGATTGGTTTCTAACTTCACTGTCAGGATCAGGCATTTACCATGACCTGGAATTGCCATAGAACAGGAGCCAGTGAGTTTTCTTGCTCTCATTTCTTTTAGAATGCCAGGTCTTTCATTATCCAAAGTGAAACACCCCAAATCCTCTCTCCAGCTCTGTTGCGGATTGAACAAGTTGGCTACACTTAGCAACAGAACAACAGCGAAGTCTGAGCAAAAATCACGATTTTACATGGAATGGGGGAAACACTGCCTTTGCTAGAGTGAACAAAGAGAAAATTTTATTGAAGGGAGCAATGAAACTTACAAATCCGTGTTTGTCGGAGATGTTGTTGGTGAGTTTCAGTTTGTGGAAAGTGACAACTTTGGACATCCACTGTTCCCCTGTAGCAGGGCTGTCTGGGTGAATGTACATTCTCTTTGGCATTTCAGGGTCAGCCTTACCGGCCACCATCCACCGAGAATTGTGAAATTTATATCGACAGTCATCAGCAGCTATAATGTCCTGATTAGAGAAGGCCCATGGCCCCTTTGATCAAAAGTGTTACATTTTATTATTACATTAACAACTTAAGAATCACAGGCTTCTGGGTCTAGAAAGAGCACACATTTTGCACGCTGAGGAAAAAGGCCATAGTATGTAATCTTTCAAATCTCTTCCCTTTGGGGGAAAGAATGATATATATTGATTTCTCCAGAGGTGGAAAAAAAGGCCCCTTGTTTGGATTCTTGTTCTTGCAATAAATTCCTCTATGCAAGATTGCCGAGAGAAAAGGTGCTGATGGTGTATTCTAAGGGAACACACCTGGAAACCACCCCCCCAGGCCAGCTGGAGGACCCTCCCACAGCAATAGTGAATTCAGAATGCAGGGTGTTAAATGGTGAACTGGACTGCCACCGAGGTCCGGGGTTCAGAGTTGAAGAGCAAGGGTCCTGGGTTGCTCCCACCCCATAACTACCTGCTGACAGCCAAGGGGACTGGTCAACCAGCGGCGAGACACTTTGTGCATCTCTGTGCAAATGCCCATGACCTTCAGGCCACCATAGCTTTACCTACCAGGTGCAGCCTGCTGTTCCATTTGGGAGTATTCCTAATCCCCAGCCTCAGACCCAAGGGAGGAAAAAACTTCAAATAAAGTAGTGACTTTTCTCACCTCATCTCAAAAACCTCAGACAACTCGATTAACATGACCCTGTGATCAGAGTAGGTTTTTCCAAACACACACACACACACACACACACGCATGCACACACACACACACACACCATAAAAAACACAGCAGCATAGAAGGTAATAAAAACCAGACCAGCTACTCGGGATTTCTGGCTACAGGAGAAAAGCTGGTCTCTACTAGGATCTTCCTTCCAGGATCTTGAATAGCTTTTGCCTTAAATTTTTAGCTGGTTCCTTTCGAACCTCAAATCTCATTTCTTAATCACGGAAGAGGCTGAATCTCCAAACAAACAAGAGAAAGCCTGAGGAAGGGTGGGGTTGGGGGGGGGCGCTCCCTGTGTCAGTGGTTATAGGAGATTTTCCCTGGAAAGTTCATTTGACGTTTTTGCGCACAGTACTGGATTCCTAGCTAGTCAATTTGTTTTTCTCTCCCTGCCTCTGCGATGTCCCCTTTCCCCAAAACTTCCAAGGAAGGTCAAATCACAAAAGGAAACTCAGATTCCCATCCCAATTTTCTCAATTCTCTCGCAACTTTCTCAACCTCACCCAAACAGCTTAAAGTGGAGGAAAAAAATATCCCCGTTAAAAAGAAAACCTTCTTTGGTCACCTTATCATTCTGGTATGCCGTCACAGCGATGAATTCGGTTTCAGGGAACAAGTATGTCCGAAATGTACTATAAGGAAGTTTCAAGATGTCATTGGCTCTCACAATGTGGAACCGGGGCTGGTATTTGTGCATGGAGTTCAATATAGTCTGCAGGGGCAAGGAGGAGGGGAGACACACATCAACAAGGATTTAGGAGGGCCAACAGGATCTTAGGACCCCTGCCAGGCTGATATCTACCCCACCGACGGGTACCACTCTTGTACCAAGCCCACCTCCTTGGAGTACCTCTTTGGGTACACTCCGCTCCACAGATGTTATCTTCTGGAGAATCCAAATGGCTCCTCAATTTCCAAAAGGGTCCCCCCACCCTCACCATCTAAGGTTCATTCATACCTTGAACCCTAGCCTACCTGAGTACCAAAACTATAATTCCCCTGCCACGTTGCGTGATCACTTGGGAAGGCCAAAGTCTTAAAAGATAGAGAAAAACATGCATTTTAATTTACAAAATGATCCAGTCCTTTAAGCGCCCACTAATTGACGAGCCCAATCCACTTAAAGCCCTAAAAGGTTGAACTCTAGAGAGGAATATTTATGCCTTAATCAAATCAAGGGCTTCAAATGCAATTCCTGCCGGCTGAAGATATTTCCGCGCCATTCACGTCTTCCTGGGCCTAATCTTTCTGCTTATTCCTCGCTTATCACTGTTTATTTTATTGAAATGCTGGGGAGGGGTAAAGGCGGGGTGGGGGAGGCCCTTTGCTTGACTTTTACAAGCAATCCAAGCCTCCTAAAGTTTCTAAGTACTCTCACACTGAACCCATCTATGCCCTCCCAGCACACGCAATCGAAGTCTCATTTCTAGTAAACTTGACATTCACCCAAGCGCAATTCTTTTTTAGTAAAAGATTTTTAAAAAATCTCTTTAAAAAGGGTATCACACCCTTTAACCAAGGTAGTCAAGACTTGGAACCTTAAAACTCTCCCCAGAAATAATATGGCCGGTTTCAAAATAGAAGCGTGATATCTTAAAACAAGTCCTTTACAAACACATAACTTTAAAACTGATTTTACATCTAAACGATTGGTTTCTAACTTCACTGTCAGGATCAGGCATTTACCATGACCTGGAATTGCCATAGAACAGGAGCCAGTGAGTTTTCTTGCTCTCATTTCTTTTAGAATGCCAGGTCTTTCATTATCCAAAGTGAAACACCCCAAATCCTCTCTCCAGCTCTGTTGCGGATTGAACAAGTTGGCTACACTTAGCAACAGAACAACAGCGAAGTCTGAGCAAAAATCACGATTTTACATGGAATGGGGGAAACACTGCCTTTGCTAGAGTGAACAAAGAGAAAATTTTATTGAAGGGAGCAATGAAACTTACAAATCCGTGTTTGTCGGAGATGTTGTTGGTGAGTTTCAGTTTGTGGAAAGTGACAACTTTGGACATCCACTGTTCCCCTGTAGCAGGGCTGTCTGGGTGAATGTACATTCTCTTTGGCATTTCAGGGTCAGCCTTACCGGCCACCATCCACCGAGAATTGTGAAATTTATATCGACAGTCATCAGCAGCTATAATGTCCATCAGCAAAATATATTTGGCTTTTTTATCCAGCCCAGAACATCTTACTTTAAAAGGAGGAAACATTCGCCTACAAAAGGAGAGAAAAGAACAGAAGAAAGAAAAGTAAATCACTCAGATTCTTGGGTTGGATTCTGTACCCTGTTTAAACCAAATTTAAAACTCTCTCCTGTGATTGATGAGCCTGTATGTTTCAAAGTAGGGCCACTGGGTGCAAAATTATTTACTTCCACAACAGAAGTGTTAAATATACTCAATTTCTGTATCTTTAAATGTCTCAAGATTCAAAACAAGTGAATTGTGGCACTGCATTTTTCTATATTGGCTAATAAATTTTCTTTATAATTTTTTCTCTGCATGACTTTATAGATTGCCCTTTCTATACAAAAATTCTTGCTATGCCTTTTCCTGTGGGTGTCTAGTTCTGAACAGTTTAGGGTAGGATTTTAGTTTAAGTGCGGTCAGTCAAGGCTAGAATTTTCCACCACACATTGATGAGAAAATGTTAAACTTATCAAGGAAATAAACATCAAGTTGCATGGGTAACAGCAATCCCGCTGCTGACGAAATGAAACTGGACTTAGGTGAGTTCTCCAAGTGAAATGTGTAGATCGGGAAGGACTCCCGGGCCCGATAACTAATCTGCCCAGTGCATTGCTAACTACATTCCCCCAACTCCTCAGGCCAGTCCAAAACTGCAAGACTGTACCATCAGATTGCTTTTTATTTTCCAAAAGTGTTGGCATTCTATACTCTTGACTGAAAAGGAAGCACTTCACTCTGGGTCTTCTGGGTTTGAGGAAATCATGCCAAACTTTGGCCTCATTTAGCTTAGAAAGCTGAAGATACCAAGAGAAAGGGATTTCACTTTTATTCTTTCAACTTGATGCTTTGATCGACTTCAATGCCATTAAAAAAAATCACTGAATTTAAATGACAGGCAGGTCTCAGTCAGGGAAGGACCTTTAAACATTATATAAAAAATAGCCTATAATATCAACACCTAAAAAAGCAGCATGTGTCTTCCCACTGCCTCCTTGGGTCTGTGAACATAATCTTAATATCCGAGATTGCCTCTGAACTCCCAGATTACAGATGTGAAGCAGTGTGGACAAACAGACACCAACACCTTTCGATTTCTATCTGACCCTGGCAGCCACAAGGTTTAGGCCCCCTCCAGACCCAGAAGCCAGGCTGGAGGACAGAAAGGGCAAGGGAACTAATGTCAGATCTCCCAGTACCACACACAAAAAAGGGTTTTAAGTTTTCACTTTGCAAACAAAATGAAACAGACAAAAACACAAATCAACAAAGACATGAGGAGGTTCCAGCGAGGTTTGAGCAGTTCCTGCAGTGTGGTGTTTTTCTTTCTTCCAGCAGAGATGTCTGTGCTCCACTGAAAAATTCTATCTATCCTGCAGGGAACCCAGGATGCAGACTTAAGTAGGAAAAGCTGCCTGCCAGGTAAACTGAAATTTCCTGCCACTGGGGTAGTGCCGGGGAGTCTCTGTACACAGCTTTTGGGGAGTTAAGTTTCCCTCTAAGCTCAAATAACGGGTGAACCGACTGTTCTGGGAAGGAGAGAGATAAAGGGAGGGAAGAAGCTCTCAGGAGCTTGGGGGAAGGGGCCTGCTGTTTGCTTACCTTCCGGACTTGGTAATGACCATCTCGGTGCCCCGCTTGTGGAACTGATCCCAAAGTTCTTTGGCCTCGAGATGCACCTTGGGGTCATCCTCCACCTCTTCTTCGGGCTCCATGGTCTTCAGAGGCCTCAGATGCGCCTGGGGCCCCAGGGACGAGAAAGGGATGCCGGTCTCGGCCGCCCCCACCAATTGATCCATGATCGGCTTGGCCAGGGCGCCCGGCAGCGAAAGCGCCGCGGCGCCGTTGGGAGGCAGCGTCAGCGCGGGGAAGAAGGGCGGCTGGTGACCCAGCACCGCGCTCATGGCGAAGTCCGGCGCCCGGTGAGGTAGGAACGGATGGTAGGCCATGCTTGTCCCAGGAATGACCGGATCTCTCATGGAGAAGCTCATCCACTCCAGGCGGGGTGCTGGGCTCCAGCCGGGGACAAGTCCGCAGCTGCTGTTTTGTTTTGTTTTGTTTTAACAGCAGCACATACTTTTAAAAAAAAAGAAAGAAAAGAAAAAAAGTGGGGGAGAATCACAACTAAAGCACTTCTAAGGTCGGGGGGGGAGGAGTGTCTTTTTGGGGAGGAGAATGCCGCTTTAAAGAGGGCAAGGCGAGAAATCAGCAGACATAGTCGCCTGGGTGACCGTCCTGGAGCCTGGCGTTTCTAAAAGGCGCTCCTGGAAGTCGGTTTCCGAGGCGAGGGGAACGAGCGGGGTCTCCACCCGCTCCCAAGCCCTGCCGCTTCGCTTGGAACAGACACACTCCAGACCTTGGTCCCCGGAATCGCTCCAGCCCCTAGTTCTTTGTTGCAAATGCGGACGGTTGTCCGCGGAGACTTTTTGCCTTTTCTTTCTCCTTCTCCTTCCCGCGTTCCCCTATCTCCCGTCCTCTCCCTCTTTCTCGAAGGAGGCGTCTGAAACTGCGCTAGACCCGGCTTCAGCAGTGAGCAGAGCGCGGAAAAAGTCTCTCCTTTAAAAAAAAAAGGAAAAAAAATCTCCGATTGAAGCCCTCTTCTACCAGTGCTATCAAAACTTGAACTGCAAACTGGCTTCCGTCCGCCGTCCTCCTCCTTCCTCTGCGCCTCCGGAGGGGTGTCTCTGGGTTCCAGTCCGAATCTTGCCTCCTCTTCTCCCGCGCCTGTCTTCCTTGTCCTAAAACGTGAGCGAATTTGCTTCCTAAATCTGCGTCCAGACGCGCAGGGCAGGGAGGATTTAGGGGGGGAAATGAGAAGGGAGAGAGAGAGAGACGGAATGGGCGAGGGAGCGAGTAGAGGGAGGGAGCGAGAGAAAGCGAACCAGAGCTCCGCGCCACCCTCCTCCGCCTCTAGAATTCCCCGGGCGTCTGCTCGGCGGCTCTAGAAGGTCGGGCTCTGCTGTGGGCTGCGGGGAGTCGGAGGCCTCTTGATTGGCTCTTTGACGCTTTCGGACCAATTGTGTGGCTGCATAGGCGTGGTTTTCACAGGTCGAGTGCTGTGGGATAGAGCCGAGTTATAAAAAGAAGGTGTCGGAAACTGTAACGTCGCAGCGCCGCATCGGTACTACTGCCTGTCCTGTGAATATGTCAACATGATCAGAGGGCGGGCGGGGAGCCACTGGGGAGCGCGCGCAGAGTCGCCTCTAGGTGGCTTATCGAGAGATCGCCTCAGCCCCAGAGCTCGCTTGCTCTCGCTCAGCCCGCGTCTGAAATGCCTCAGTCATCCAGCCCGGGAACGGGGGTGGAGGCGAGGCCAGCGAGAAAGGGGGAGGCGGAGGGAGCGAGTCAGCTGGGCCAGGAAGGCGGAGAGAGCGCCGGGTGCCGGGCAGGGGCGCTCGCCTCTCGCGGGCTCGGCTTGCTTCTCCGGCCGCCGCCGAGGCCGTTTCTCTCTCCTGATTGCCCTGTAACCCCGACCCCGGGAGAGCCGGGCGGACGGCAGAGCATTCTGCGAGCTGCCCTTCGGCCACTGGGCGCCACGAAAGCCGGCAGCGGCGACGGAGAGGCGTGCGCTGAGGCTACAGGCTTGCGCGCTCTGCAGCCCCACGTGGAGCCAAGCGCCGCCCGGCCGCCGCTACAGAGCTCCCGAGCTCGGGTGTCTCTCGGTGCCGGTCACCCAGGCTTCTGGGCTCGTGGGTTCAAGAGCACACGGATGCGGCCGGATCTCAGTCCACGCGTGCGGGGGCTCCCTCTCCACGGTGCCCCACACAAAACCGTGCGCGGAGACCCAAACAAACCCCGCACACCAGTACGCGAACACGCGCCAGCACACTGGGTAAACACGTACACGCAAACACGTACACAGCCTGCGCGGCCCGCCCTGCCTGCACTCACTCGCCGAGGAGGACTCTTGAGGTTTGGAAATGCATTTATCAGCCCTTTTCGATCTCGCCTTCCATCCGGATTCGGGCTCTCGGGATTACACCTGGATGTGCGCGAGAGTGTAGGGGAAAATGGAAATTTGGACAAAGTGAGCGCAGAGAGGCACTAGGTTCTGGGCCCGTCCCCACCAAGCCGCTGCCCTAGCCTCGGCTCGGTGCGGAGCTTCGGGTAGCCGGTGGGCGAGCTGGTAGGGGGAGGTGCGCCAGTCTTGTATCTTCTCCTGGCATCGCACTTATCTCTCGGTGCCTTAGTTCTTTCTCCACCCGGGGACTTATCTCGCCAGAAGTCGGGGGGTGAATTTGTAAAAGAGACCGTGAAACGCCCCCACCCCAGAGGCGAGGTGACTGGTCCCAATTCGGAGGGGGAGGCTCAGTGAGGATGAAGCGGTGGGAGGCAACCCGATCTTAAGGATCAGACCGGTTGCTGAATTGGTAACTTTTACCGCAGGCCCCTGTCGGGGTCAGAGGATTCCCCAAAGCCATATTTCTCGTTTCGGGGGGGGGGGCAGTGAGTCGGGCTGACCCTGTTTAAGTTGGGGGGAAATCTTGGAGAGAATGTTTTTAGCCTTACTGGGTTGAGACCTTTCTCGAATGGAAAGGGCTGACTTCGGGGCCTAGGGGGTTAAGAAACCCCGGGCTTGAGATGTGTGTGCATCTGTGGGTGTAGGCAGCTAGCACAATCCTCTGTACATTTTGCCTTGTGGACCCCCTAAACCCCCCAGCTCCCAGACTCCGAGGTGGGAGCAACTGGAGGGTAAAAACTCAGTTCTCTTGTGGGCCAGCCACGCCGAGAGGGGCGGAACTTTGGAGGCGACAATCTTTTCCAGCCTCGCATTTTTGACGCACATGGTTAAGAGCGGTTGGCGCCAGCGCAGAGAATTCCCTGAAGTCACCAGAGAGAGTAGAGTGGTTCTGCGAACTCCGTCTGACTCGCCGTCTCTCCCCTTTCTTTCCCTTTTGGTCTTTCTCTTTTTCTCTGGCGTCCTCTTGGTCTCTCTGCCTGTGGTTGAGAGGAGAGAAAGAGGGAGAGAAAATAAAGAGGCGGCGGGGACCCAGGGTGTTGGCTCACGACGCCCCTGCCCCATGCTGAGGGTGCCAGAGGCCTCCTTGCACGGACGACCGAGGTCGAGGCAACTCTCCCCCCACCCGCCCGCACACACACAGTGCTCGCCGCCTGAGCCTGGGCAGCTCTGCTGCGCTGTCAGGAGCGGCCCCTCAGCCCCGCGATCTGGTTTTGCCAGCACCGGAGGGCCAATCTCTGCCCGGCCGCTCGGAGTAGCAGGAAAGCAATTCCAGAACTACAACGTGACTGACCCCCTCCTCACCCACTCGGTGCCCCAAGCGTCCAGATGCACCCAAAGGCCCCTGGGCATTCTGGCCTCCTTCTGTTTGGGACGTGGGAGGCAAGCTTGCTGAATTTGCTTGTAAAATTTTTCGACTGGCTTGTGGCCTCATCGTGGACTCAGCGTGGATGATTTCTGCTCTTCACACTGCCCCTTCCTTCAAGTGCCAATTTTTGCCCGTAGCTCGAACTTAATTTAACCCTGGGGTCACCTCACTTGCCACTCCTGATCCCCACTCCCACTCTAGCGCTTAAGAGAGGGGCGAAGAGGAAAGTTTGCGGGGTTCTGAATCGAAAATGTCGACATGTTGCTAATGGTCTGCAAACTTCCGCCAATTATGACTGACCTCCCAGACTCGGCCCCAGGAGGCTCGTATTCTGCAGGGAGGCCGCGGTAACTTGGGATCAAAAGCGGGAAGGTGCGAACTCCTCTTTGTCTCTGCGGGGCCGCCGCGCCCCCCTCCCGGTGGGTGATAAACCCACTCTGGCGCCGGCCGTGCGCTGGGTGATTAATTTGCGATCAAACAAAAGCGGCCTGGTGGCCACCGCACTCGAGTTAAACATTGGCCAGCGTGTTCCGAAGACCTACGCCAGGCCTGGCAGCCGGGGGGAAGCGAGAGGCTAGCGCGCCCCAGGCCGGGGCTTTAGGCTCCAGGCGCAGGCTCCACACGGGCTTTTTTTCTTTTTCTTCCTCTTTGCAGACCCCTTGGTCGTCTCTCTTTCTCCGCCTCACTGCTCAACAAAAGACACACGGGAAACACTGAATGAGCCTGCCCCTCGGAAGAGTCTGAAAGTGGTGCGAGGGCAGGAGAAGGGAGAAGAGGCCCACCTTTTGGGTCTTAGAGGGCCCACGGAAATTTTGGTGTCCTCCAAATATTCCTCCCTACCTTTTGCAGAAAAAAGTTTTCACTTAATTGTAGTTCTGATTATTTTTTTAATTAAAAAAACCCACTTCGCTGTATCTGTAACGCTTGCAGCCTTTAAGGTGGAGTAGCGCGTGTGGTATGTGCGCGCGCGTGTGTGTGTGGTAAAGCAGGGAATGGTCAGAGGAGCCTTAGAACAAATTTCGTATTTACACCCTCTGAACGCACACAAATGCGAAACCAAACCACCTACCCTCGGCTCAGGCCACGGGTTCAGCAGAGAAGCCAGTCTTGCCAAAGAGCCGCATGGGGAACCTCTTCCAGATCCCACTCTCCCCCATGGCAACGCCTGCCTCAGACTATCAAGGGGACAAACCGACCCTTTTGTGACCGAATCGTGTTTATCTGAAGTTTACAAAAAAAGAGGGGGAGGTGGGGAAAGGATGGTGGGTAGGCGGGGTGGTTTACTTTGGCAAGTTTGCTGTAAATATTCTCTTCAGCATGTGTGAGGTCTGGCGAGGGACTGCGACACGCTTATTCCCTCTTAAACTTTCACCCCCGTTTGCCGCTGAACTTCTTTCAGACTGAGGTGTTGCAGAATCGGGAACTGTGTTGACATAAGGACATCCTTGTTTCTCCAGGGGTCTGTCTGAGGCCTAATTAAGAAGTTTCCTATGGGGTGGGTCAATACATAAACTTTTACTGGGGAGGGGCTTTCTGATGTCCTGGCAGTGCACACAGGGCTCCCTATTTCTCCCCAGTGCCCTGTGCACTGGATGCGGGCTGCCTTTAGGGCCCTGGCTTCCCCTACCTGGGGAAGTGATTTCCTTGTGGTGGACCCCGGGGAGGTAGCTCCCTGGCCGGGGTGGCAGGGGGTGGCTAGCTTACAGTTGGTGGTTCCTCCTCCAACTCACAGACAGCGCTCCTCTCCCCACATTATTAGCACTCCTATGCTACCCCAGAACCCTGACTCTCCTGCACGCAGAGAGCTTCTGCCCAGAACTGGGAGGCTTGATTTGTCTTATCTCCTGGAGCTTCAAACTCACCGCCCACCCCAAAGGCTTGCCGTGAGAGCTTTGCTCCCGCCGGCCAGGAGGCAGTGGGCCAGTCTCTCTGCCGGAGAATCAACTTGTTCCTCTTTCCTGCCTCCAGGGGCAGGCTCAAGCCTGGGGGCTGGGCCACAGGGGGCACCCCCCTTCTGTCTTTGCCTCCCTGTTCATCCCCTTCAGGATTCTTTGACTGCCACCTGTGATCATTCTTCCTGTTTCCTTCTGCTTTTCTCCTCTCCCGCATATCTACCTTGTTCTTGGTTTTTATTTGTCCCTATCTGTCTCTGTGCCCCAGCCTTTAACTTCCCTTGTTCTTTCTGTTTTTGATTTTCTCTCTTCTAGTCTTTCTTCTTCTTCTCCCCTTCTGTTTTCTCTGGCTTTCTTTGTCCTTTCTAAATTCTCTCCTGCCTCTCTGGATTTCTGGATTGCCTTTGTGTCCTCCCCACCCCACCCCCATGTTTTCCAGTAACTATGGCAAACTGGAGACTCCTCTCCCTGGGGATTCAAGCAAACATCTACTCCTCATGCCCTTGGCTTGGAAGATAGGGTGTCCTGAGAGATAGAAAAGAGTTAGGTTCATTTGTGTAGGTTGGAACTAGCACCTTCTTTTGGTATCCTCAAACTGACCCTTTACCCTGAGCTGACTCTCACCCCTGTACCAACGCTTCTTATCTCTCTTCTCTGTCTCTCTCTCTCCTTTCCAAGGCAGGAGTCCAGGCCGATGGGCAGCATGTTGGGCCCTAAAGCCCTAGATCCTGACCTCTGCTTTGTCCTAGCAGCACAGGGCTTTCCTGTAAGGCACATTTCCCTGCCCTCTGACAGCCCTCTAAATTATTGATCAGGGCGATTCGGTGCAAGAGTCTGAAGCCTGTGTGTGTGAGAGATTGTCAAAGTTGTCTAGCTTGGGGAAGCTGTATTTTTAGTACAGAGGCTCACTTTGGCGCCAGCTAGT